AGTCGCCGGCTTCTGTTGTATCGAGGGTGAGAGAGATATTAAAAAAATTGGAAACTCTACGGTCATTTTTAAATCTGCTGTAAGTTCCTTCCGTCTCTGAGCATCAGTTTCCTCATTATAAAACAGGATATGATTAGAGTTCCTTTCTCGTGAGGTTGCAGGAGACTCTGGTCAGGAGACAAAGGTAAAGGTAATGAGCTATGGCCTGGCCACAATATGTGCTCATTCAATACTAGTTGTTGCTGTTATCAATTGCTGTGTATAACATGACTTCAGTAGCCCAGCAGGTAATAACTGTGTCGGTGAGGTCCACTGAAAAGCAGACGTCAAGACTGAATTCAACAGACAAGAGATGTATTGAGAGCGGGGGCAGGAGAAGGCAGGTCTTGCACCTGGAGAAAGAGAGGGAGAAGGAAGGCAGATTCCATAGGGACAGTCCTGAACTGCAGCACAATTCAAAAAGGTTAGGACATGCCAGTGGGGGTGCTTGAGCCAAAGTCACTTACTGGAAGAGTTCTGCGTCTCTCCAGAGTGGGCCTGCCTTAGTATTCCTGCCGTGCTCGGTGGTGGGCTGAGAGCAGCCCACAGGAAATGTAGGCTCAGCATAGACGAGGCAGCACATCCCAAGGGACAGCAGCTGGAACCGTCAGTCAATCATGCTCCCCACGGCAGGAGATCTGAGCACTGCACGCTCACAGCTGCTGCAGTAACCAGACTTGTCCCTGGGGCCACAGAGTTCCCAAACGCTGCACAGCCCATCAAAATGAGTTCATGCAGCGTCCTGTGCCCTCAGTGTGAGAAATTAACCAGCCGGGGCATCTATGGGGAGAGTACTTGGCCAGCACCGAAAGGTGCATACCTTGGTCAAGTTCCAGATTGTGCAAGACGGAAAATACGATGGAATCCAGACCAATGGGAGCTCACTTGGACCCGGCACTGCAGACGCCAGGAAGGGAGGAGTTGGAACCATGGTTCTAACAGTAACAGTAATCCAAAAATCTTTTCTGGGGATAGCTGCCAAGAACCCGTGCCGTTCGGGGTGATGAACTTTCCCCTGAGGAAAGGAGAAAGGGGCTGCAGCACCAAGCGAGGAGCGGTGCCACGATGTGGGACCCCAACCCCTTACTGGAAGGTTTTGGAGTTTCTATGGAATCTGCTCCTCTCAGTGTGGGAAGAGGACTCCTCACTCATTTAGTCCAACCCTCTCATTGTGCAGATGGGGAAACCGAGACCCAAATGGGAACAAGAGCTGCACAAAGTCCCCTGAGAGTCACTGGCTGAAGTGAGGCTCCAGCCAGCATTCCCAGCTCCTGGGCCAGGGCTGGGCCCTCTGAGGGCAACCCCGCCAGCATCTGTCAAGGATCTACTACGGGAGAGTGGGAGGAAGGCCAAGAAAAGACTGATTTCCAGAGAGGGAGGGGGGCTCAGAGGGGAGACAGGGAGTTCCAAAAAGGATGGGGAGACTCAGAAAGGAGGCTGAGGACTGAGAGGGGCATGAGAGCTTGGAGAGCAGACAGGAGCCCCGGCAGAGGGATGGGGGGTCAGAAGTGTACGTTCAAGGGTTGGGATCAGGCTCTGAGGGCCCACAGTGCCCCAGGCAGCCTGGCAGCCCTGGAAGGCAGCAGCTTCCTCTTCCCTTGGCACCCTCTTCACTTCACACCCCTCCACGGCCACGCGCAGGGGGAGGGACTGACACTCTCAGGCATTAGTCAGCTCGTGGCAGTTAAAAAAAGAAGGCTCGATGGCACTTGTGAGGAACGTCTCTTCCAACTTCGAGCCCCAATGGACTGCCACCTCCCCCTCCCTTCGCACCACTGGGCAAGGACGGAGGAATCGAGCACAGGGCAGAGGGCCCAGAAGCTGGGACCCCTACCCCCACGAGGGCTTCCTCCCAGCTCCCACCTCATGATGATGATGATGATGATGATGATGATAGGTCAGCAGTATCATTAGTGGTAGCGTTTGTGATGTAGTGTAGTAGTAGTGCTGGCACATGCTTGCCACTGGCCCAGGCACCTGGGGAGGGTTCTGACCCTGAACTTGCCCTAGGTTCATTCACATCCAGATGCCCCATCTGGGGCAATGCAGAGGGCATCCCCTGCAACAGCCTGGTCAGAAAGTGACCCATGTGTGGGTGCAAGCTACAAGGGAGCTCAGAGGGCCCCCACTTCAGCCACCACCTCCCACTTCACAGATAGGAACACTGGGGCTCTTGGAGGGCAGTAATCGTCCAATGTCATGTGGCAAGTGGCCCAGATTTCCTGTCCCCAGGCCAGGGCTCATTCCAATAAGCCAACTGGTCAGGCACCCAGGTTCACATGTGGGCTTTGCACTCCTTGCTGTGTGACCTTGGGCAAGTGACACTGCCTCTCTGTGCTTCATCTAAAAATTGGGATAAAAATACCTACCTCAAGTGAGAATTAGAACATAAGGCAGGCATCTGGAATCTCTTTTTGACTGCTGTATGTATGGTCAAAAGAGCTGAAAGAGCTTGGAAAGCCTGACCTCCAGCAAAAGTGTGGCCAGATGGTTAACATGTGAGTGCTGGTCCTGCTAGGCACATGTGAAGATTCATGTCATCCTCAGCAGTCCCACAAAGAAGGTATTTCTGAATCCCATCTTCCACATAAAGAAATGTAAATGAGGTACCCGAGGTCACAGAGCTGGAAACTGGTAGCACCAGAAGCTGAATTCGGGCAGGCGAGCGCTGTGGGAAGTGTGCTACACAAGTGCCATGTTCACTCATTCATTCGTGTAACAGGCACTAAGCACCTACCATACACCAGGCACCACGTTAGATACCATGCATACAGCAGTCTAAAAGAAGTCAGGATGCCTGTCTTATGTTCTGTTTCTCAATTGAGGTAGGTATTCGTATGTCTGTTTTTAGATGAAGCACAGAGAGGCAGTGCCACTTGCCTAAGGTCACACAGCAAGGAGTGCAAAGCTCACATTTGAACCTGAGCCCAGCTGATGCCTCGTTTTCTGCCCTGAGGGACCCCTTTTCAGCAATATCCCCAGAAAGGACTGAACCAGAGGTAGCTGCACTGAGGTCTGTCCAGGGTTCAAGCCCTTTCAGAGCCCTGGAACACTCCATCCCACACAGCCTCTGCCTCATTTACCAAGGGGCAAATGGCACTCAAGCCCCACCCTCTCCAAGCTGTCTCGAGGATTCCATCCTTTCCTAACACTAATTGAGATGCCTCCTGACATTGTACAGACACCACAGTTTAGGAAACCCCTCCTCTCTTGGAGGTAGTTTTGCTTCAGTCTGGAGAAGAGAAAACCCACGGGTCTCAGAGGTGAAATTATTCAACTGAGGCAGTGACTCAATCAGAATTCAAGCCCAGATATGTGTGCCTTAAAGCTGTAGCCAGTCAGGGTCTCAGCAGGAGCAGATGGCACCCTCCAGGTGGGTCTTTGATTGGATTTTTTTTTCTTTGAGACGGAGTTTTGCTCTTGTTGCCCAGGCTGGAGTGCAGTGGCATGATCTCGGGTCACTGCAACCTCCGCCTCCCAGTTTCAAGTGATTCTCCTCCCTCAGCCTCCTGAGTAGCTGGGATTGCAGGCATGTGCCACCACACCCGGGTGATTTTGTATTTTTAGTAGAGATGGGGTTTCTCCATGTTGGTCAGGCTGGTCTCAAACTCCTGACCTCAGATGATCCGCCCGCCTCGGCCTCCCAAAGTGCTGGGATTACAGGCGTGAGCCACCTCACCTGGCTTGATTTGATTTTAATAAAGGGATCACTTAGGAGGGATGAGAAGAGTATAGCAAACCACAAAGGATAAGGTAGTGCCCTCACACCAGAGCTGGTGCAAGTCGAACTGTTACAGGCCCAAAGGGTGAAAGGAGGGAAAAGGGAGAAGTTGCTGTCACCAGGAGACAAAGAGAGAGCCCCCAGTAGGAGATGTGGCCCTCCCCTGGAGGACACAGGCAGCTTGAGGGGATCTTGAAGGCAGAGAACTGGGGAATAAACACCCCAGTGTCACTATCCTCTCTCTTCCCAGATCCTACCAGTGCTCCCAATGGGCCAGACCCAGTGGAAAGCCAGACAACAAGGGTTCCCTTGATGGACACAGTCCCTGCAGGCCAACCAGTCAGGACCAAGAGCAAGGAGACGGGTGTGAAGGGGATCTGGGAGGAAAACCACCAGATCTCCCGCCAAAGTCAAATCCTGCCTTGTGTTTGCATAGGCACAGTAGGTTCCATTGTCTACGGCAGCAAGGTCACTGTGGAAGCTACAGTCGTCGCTACGGCTAGTTCATGCTGCAGGAACAAACAACTTCCAAGTCTCAAAACTTCAAACCGGTTGGCAAACTACAGCCTGCAAGCTGGCCACTCATCTTGTAAATAAAGTTTCATCAAGACACAGCCACAGCCGCCCATTTACGTACTGTCTGTGCCTGTTTTCTTGCTCCAACAGCAGAGTTGAGTATCTGCGACAAGCCTAAAATATTCATTCCCTGGCCAAGAACATTTGCCAACCCTTGGCTTAAAATACACAGGTTTGCTTCTTACTCCGGTTCCGTGTCCATCTCCAGTTGGCAGGGCCTCTCCTCCATAATGTCCACAGTCAGGGGCCCGGGCTGGCAAGCCCGCCCCTGAAGAACCCACCAGTCTCCCTGGCAGGGGATGCAGACGGCAAACTGCCCACCAGCTCCTGAGGTTCCCACCAGGAAGAGGCACACTTCACTTCCGCTCACAGATCTCGGCAGAAACCAAGTGCCAAGGCCGGGCCTAACTTCAAGAGGGCTGGAAAGTACAGCCCCTCCATGAACCCCACGTGAGGAGACCCAGAAATGGACCCAGATGGCGGACCGCACTCCTGACAAGTGCGGCATGTGGACACGGCAAATGGTTGTAAAACAAAGGAATGAGGACGCTGTTGGGTCTCGCTGCAAGCTTCTCCAGAATCCCTCCTGTGCACAGGGCTCGGGGAAGCCAGTCAGGATTTCACCCGCGGGTAGAGAAGCTGGAGAGAATGCACATCACATGCAGGCTGGGAAACTCCCCTTTTTATTGGCTTCCGTGGAAACGGAGGCAGAAACCAGAGGATCCCTAGGAGCTCCAGTCACGCCCACCTCCTATCCTCTGCGGACAGACTTCTGAGGGCTCCCTTCTCTCTCCATCAGGGTCCAGAAGTTCTCCGAGGACCAGAGAGGCTTTGGCTCAATTTCTCGCTCTATAACCAGTCACCTCCCAGCTGTAAGCCTCCACTTCCACAGCTGCAACAGTCTGTGGGTCTCAAGGTGAGGTCCCGGGATGGGCAGCATCAGCATCACCTGGAAGCTGATTAGAAATACACATTCTCAGGCCCCACCCCAGACCTACTGAATGGGAAACTCTGGTGGAGGATCCCAGAAATCTGGGCTTTAACAAATGTCTCAGGTGATTCTAATGCTTGAGAAATACAATCAGGCACAAACGAATTGAGATGTGCAAAGCCCGGGCGCACACTGCTTTTCCGGCCGCCTTCCCCACCTGCATAAATGACAACTCCATTCTGGTTTAAGCCAAAAACCTGGAGCCATCATAGAGGGTTCTCAGACCCTAATCCTGTGGCTTAGCCTTTAGAATATATTCAAATCTGGGCCTCCCACTCCACCTCCTCCACTCTGCCTGGCCCTAGCCTCTGCCATCTGACACCCACATACTACAGTGCTTTCTAACCACCCCCCCCTTCCTTTGAGCTTGTAGTACATCCTCACTCCAGCAGCCAGAGGATGCTCTTAAAAACTAAATCAGATGATTCCACGCCTCTGCTCAGAACCTCCATGGCTTCCATCTCACTCAGAAGAAAACCCGGCAGAGCCGTCCTTGGTCCGATTCCCAGTGACCCCTCCACCTCCCCAGCGCCCTCCTGCCCGCTCCCTGTCTCCAGCCACACTGACCTGTTCTCTGTTCCTCCAACATGCCAGGCACGCTCCCACCTCGGGGCCTTTGCTCCTGCTGTTTCCTCTGCCAGAAACCCTTCTCTAGCGATCCGCACACGAACCAAGCCCTCACCTCCTTCAGATCACCGTTCAAATGTCACCTCCTCAGAGAAGCCTTCTCCGACCCCGCCGCCGTGCACTGCCCCTCCTCCGGCTCTGTTTTTCTCCATAGCCCTCACCACCACCTGACACACGTCTTTGTTGTTTCTCTGTTTATACTCTGCCTCTCCCCACGAGGGTTTGAGGGCCACAAAGCCAGGCACCACCTGCTTTGTTCACTGCCATGTGCCTCCCAATGCCTGAATATGCCTGGCATGGAGAAAGCCCTGGGTAAATATTGGTTGAGTGTACAAATAGATAGGTAGTCAGGTAGGTAGCCAGATGGATGGACAGACAGAAAATTATGCTTTCCCCGGGCCTTGCTGTGATCAGCACAAGGCAGCCCCCATGGGCACTCCCAAGAGTTATACCACAGAAAGACCCCAGGGCTGAAGGCCTTGTATGCTGCTCTGGGATCAGCAGTCTGGGTTCAGGTCTCTTGGATGGGATTCAAGTCTCTTGAATTTACCTGGAGAAAATCACATAGCCTCAATTTTCTTATCTCTAAAATGGGGATGATGTGATAATGTGTGTCGTGTGCCTTAACCCTGTAGGACTGCAGCAAGGACTACACAAGGTGTGCATGAAGGGTGCGCGGTGCCCAGTACCACGATAAGTGCTAAGGCCACGATACATGGGAATCACCACTGCTGCCACTATTGTTTTGCTTCCTTCAATTTTGCCAGTGGCCCGGGGTACTTGGCCAGCCATAGGGCTTATTGGGAGCATAACTGGCTCCAAAGAATTGGGTTTGAATCCTTGCAGCTGCCTTCTTGCTGTGTGACTCTGTGCAAGTCACTAGCCCTCTCTGGGCCTCAATTTCTTCCTCTGAGCAATGGGAGGTTGTCTTGTGATCCCTGCAGATGGATCCCCAGGTCCTTCTGGAGGACCAAGCCCAAGCTTGCCAGGCCCTCTCCTCTTCGTGGTTGCAGCGGGGAGGCCCTGGGGCTGAGGAGGTGGCTGGGACTCACGCTGACTCTTCCCCTAGCCTCACCGACTCTGCAGGGAAGGAAGAGAGAGGCAATACTGGTTGCAGCTGAAAGCTCCCCAACTCCAGGTCTAAAGCAGAGTTCTCCCTCCGGTTTCTATGATTTGAGTGAGTCACTTAACCTCTTGTGCCTTAGCATCCTCATCTGTAAAATGGGAATAATTATCACTTGTGAGGATAAAATAAACTGCTACGTGTAAAGTGTTTAGACCAGTGCTTGGCACAGAGTTATCACTATTATTATAATAGCTGCTATTATTTCTAACAACCACAGCTGGTCTCTGGACCAGGCACCATCGTAAGTTTTTATAAACTTTGATTCAATTTTTACAAATACTCTATGCCATTTTTGTCTCCATTTGAGAGGTGAATGAGTTTGGCTCAGAGACTGAAACAGTTGGTCCAGGGTCACACAGCTTGCACGTGGAGCTGGGTTTGAACCCAGTGTTCTCTCGAGCCTGGTTCTTCCACTCACCACACTGCTTTCCCGTAGTTCTGATTTGCTGATAGGGAGTCAGAGGGTTACAGAGCTCACTCCCAGGCCTCAGTCCTGCTGGGCCCTTTCACCCAAAGCATTTCTGGATCCACGCAACATCGTACCTAGAGGCAGAACTAGAGGGCCATGACTACTCCCATTCACAAAGAGGCTGCCCCGTGTGAGGGGCAGAGCAGAACCCGGCAGGTGCATGGCCAGGTCTCCAAGGGAAGTGGCCCCAGCAACCCCTGGGCAGCCAGCCCCTCCCTCAGCCGGGCAGCCCCCACTCCTCCTCCCATCCCCCTACTTTATGACCTGTTTTATGAGCGGGAGGCCTGGCAGCTTCCCTGTTGCCATGGGAACCAGCCCAGTGCAGGCTCCTGGCAGCTCGATCAGGGATTGGCAATTTTAAGTCAGGAGCCAATCCCGGGGCTAGTGCGGGTTTTCACGGGTTGAGGTCTGTGGGCCCCAGGGGTGCACAGTGCCTGCCTGCCTCTCTCCTCTGCTCCAGCTCCCCAGGTGCCTAAAAAACTCAAGGACCCTGCAGCTGAAAGATGACAGGCTGTGAGAGCCCTGAAGGAGCCTGGGGCAGCAGGAAATGAGGCAGACCACCAAGTGGGGGCTGGGAGAGCTGACAGAGCTGGACTGTGGACACACATGCCCAGGGACACACAGAGGCATTAGGACAGCTGACATGAAGGGCCTCACAATGATATGCACAGACTAACACAGAGAAATAGAGATATGCACACCACAGCCACGTATGCATAGGGAGGAAGGGTACCTGCAAACACACAGAGACACACAAATCCATAGGAATGCCTGCATGCCCAGAGACTCACAGACACACACACGGACACCCAGAGGAAGCACAGACACATACTGCTCACCCACTCTGTGACCCAGGCAGCCTGCCAAACCTCCCTGAGACTCAATCTCATCATCTGTCAAAAGGGCATCACAATCCTAGCTTGTGAGAACAGGGAGGAATAATGAGGAAAATGACTGTGGGTGCTCAGACACCTTCATTCACCCAGCCAGACAATATTATTAATCACCTACTATGTGCCAGGTGCCTTCGCCAAGCTGAGAAAAGTGAGCTAACAAGGACCTACTCTCAGGAAGCTCACAGTCTCCTTCAGGAGACAATAAATATGGGAACAAGGCAAGATTTTTTTTTTTTTTTGAGACGGAGTCTCTCACTTTGTCACCCAGGCTGGAGTGCAGTGGTATAATCTCAGCTCACTGCAACCTCAATCTCCCAGGTTCAGGGGATTCTCCTGCCTCAGCCTCCTGAGTAACTGAGATTACAGGCATGTGCCACGATGCCTGGCTAATTTTTGTATTTTTAGTAAAGACAGGGTTTCACCATGTTGGTCAGGCTGGTCTTGAACTCTTGACCTCATGATCTGCCCACCTTGGCCTCCCAAAGTGCTGGGATTACAGGCGTGAGCCACCGCACCTGGCCAGCAAGTTTGAATAATGAGACTTACTGTGTAGACAATAAAACAGGTAAGAGTGACTCCACGGAGAAAACAGGTTAGGGTAGAGAGGGAACACTTCTCTGAGGAGGTGACATTCACCTGAAACAGAGGGAATGTGATGACACTGGCCAGAAAGTTTAGAAAGAAGAGTGTCCCAGCTAGCAAAAGCAGGAGGTACAAAGGCACTGGGGTCAGAGCAGGGCTCCACATGGCTAAGAAGCCCCAAGGAGATCAGTGTGACCGAAACGGAGGGAGGAGACAGGCAGTGAGTCTGAGAGTAACTGGAGGCCAGGGAAGGCAGGGCCCTGAAGACTGAATGATGGACTGTGGGTTTCACTCTCCATAAAATGGGACCCACGAAAGGGCTTCTGTCCAGGACGATCTGGTCAGAATCACATTTTAAGTAGCTCACTTTGGCTGCTGGGAGGAAACTGCCTGGGTAGGACAAAACTGGACATGGGAAGCCCAGGGTCAGGGGCTGTTGGAGCATCCAGGGGAGGGGTGACCCAGGGTCGGGGGCTGTTGCAGCATCCAGGGGAGGGGTGACTGCAGGCTGGACCAGGGTGATGGCAATGGCTGTGGATGGTCCTTGAAACTGTGAATTCAACACATCTTTACTGAGCTTCTATTCTGTGCCAAGCATCAGGGATGCAGAAGCCAACACAACAGAAATTCCTGCCTTCGCAGGGCATGCAATCCAGAGGAAAGAGAATGGTAACTGAATAGAATGGATGCCAGAGGTAAGTGATGACAAGTGCTGTGGGAAATATCAAAGCAGGGAAGGGTGTGGAGATCAGCCAGGGTGGGGTGGGGTGATTTGTAGCTTTAAACAGGAGAGTCAGGAAAAGTCTCATGGCAAAGGCTACATTTGAGTGAAGATATAAAGGCGGCATGAGAATAAAATCTGGGACCCAGAGCTTCAGGCAGAGAAACAGCAAGTGCAAAGGCCCAGAGGCAGGCCCGCTCCTGGTTTGTTTGAAGAAATCAAGGAGGTCCCTGAGGCTGAGCTGAGTAAGCTGGTGGGGGCGGGACAGATCATGCAGGGAAGGGAGGGAGGGAGGGAGGGAGGAAGGGGGCTGAATGAGCAGAAGAGACTGGGACCTGGGTGCCTGCAGGAGGGAGGGAAACCATCGAGAGAGGGCCTGGCCCCTTCTCCATCCTGCCCCCTTCCTGAGGAAGCAGCATATCCCATTCCTCCTTTCATCCCACAAACCTTCATCAGCCAAAAAGTGAAAATTTAAGAAGGGAGGAACTGATCCCAGGAAAGGAAGGGACTTAAGATTTGCCTGCCCCCAGGTCAGACCCCAGCCCACGTGGGATGTGACTTCTGGTGGCTCTGCAGGAACCCTCAGTGCCCTCCTCAGGATGCATTCCTGGGCCTGAGGCTCTGAAAGAGGACACACAGCCAATAGCAGCCAGTTTCAGCGCTCCTAACCCTGCCAGGAAGCACCCCCAGCCTTAGGCAGGGCTGCTGGGATGGGCTCCCTAAGCTGCAGGTGAGAATGGTGGCTAATTAGGGTGCTGCCTCCCCCTCACTCTCCAGGTCCCCGGGATACCCTGAGTTGGATTTCAGGTTCATTAATGTCTTGGCACAGATGCTCTGGCTGTGAGCTCTCTCCAGCTGCCCGGCCTTGGCTGGCAGGAGTAGGGAGTAGAAGGGAGACTCACAGTCCAATCGTTTACCCCCAGAGCCAGACCCAAGGCAGGCCCAGGGTTCAAGGACATCTTAGAGGCTCCACCAGCGTCGCAGCCCAATGACCTTGGCTGAGACACCCTCCCTCCCTGAGCTCTGTTGTCCCTGTCTCTCCAAGGGATCACAGGCCTTTTCCCACCTGACTTTCAGAGCTGGGATGAGCCGGAATAAAGGATGAAAGTGAAAGTGCCCCGAATCATTAAAGAGGCAGGCAGAACTCCCCGTGCCACGCTGGAGGGATCTGCAGGGTGGGTTGTTATGTAAGACAAGGCACCCTGCAACCGCTGCCGCCTGGCTGGCCTGTCAGCTTCTGCCCTTCCGAGGTGGCTATTCTCCCCTGGGAGCCCCTGTATTCTGTTACATAAAATACCAGGTCAGAGAATTCCCGTGGGACTCGGCAATTCCGCCTGTGGCTCTACACCTAAAAGAACTGACAGCCCGTCTCAAAGAAGTATCCGCATACCCATCTTCATGGCAGCAACATTCACAATAGCCAAAAGGAGGAAGCAACCCGAGGGTCCATTGGCAGATGAATGAGTGGGCAAACAAAACGTGGTATATACACATAATGGAGTATTATTCAGCCTTAAAGAGGAAAGAAATAATGTCCTTGAGTTTCATCCATGTTGTCCCATGGATGAAACTCAAGGACATTATGCTAAGTGAAATAAGCCAGACATGAAAAGATAAATACCGCATGATTCCACTTATATGAGGTATATAGAGTAGTCAAATCCATAGCAACAGAGAGGAGAATGGGGCTGGGGGATGGGGGAATTCGTGTTGAATGGGTGCAGAGTTTCGGTTTTGAAAGATGAGACAGTTCTGCATAGGGATGGTGGTAACAACTGCCCACTGAGGGGAAGGCACTGAGTGCCACTGAACTGCTTACTTAAGAACAGTTAAAATGGCTAATTTTATGCTGTGTATATTTTATCAGAATAAAAAAATTTACACCCAAAAACACCCCAGTGAAACCAAGCCTAGCTCAGTCCTCTCCTCTCCTTCCTGAGGCTCTGGTTGCACGCCCTCACCTCGCATCCCCACGCCACCCCATTGTTCTGCACCCCACTTTCCTGACCTATCTCCTGCCCCTCCCCTCGCTCACTTAGCTGCAGCCCCGATGGCCTATTCACTCTTTTTCTAACCCACTAATTTCATGCCATGCTTGGGGCCTTGGCACCCACTGTCCTGTCTACCAAGAATCTGCCCCAGATAACTGCAGGGCCTGTTCCTCCCCATCCCCCAGGTCTCAAGTCAAACATCTTCTCTCCAGAGGTGCTTTCCTGATGCCCTGGACTGAAGGCACCCCCCACAAGCCCACTCCTTTCCTTCTCTATCCCTTTACCCAAATGCATCCGTTCATATCACCACCTGGAAGAATACTTCACCTTTGTCTGCTGGCTACTCTTAGAGTGTCAGCTCTAGAAGATAGTAGGCGCTCAGCGAATAGTTATCAGATAAATAGAGGATGGTCTTGTTGATGTATGGTGCATACTTACGACACACGTGTTATATATGGGAAAGGCCCGGAAACACGGCCACCAGCATACAGTGGTGAATGCGGAGGAGAGTGGGAAAAGAGGATGGGGAAGTGGCTGTCAAGGGTCCCTTTCAGGGTTCACTCGACTCAGGTGTTGCATGAAACGCTTACCATGCAGATCATAGTTATGTAATTTTTAAAAAAGAGCTCTGAGATATATGCTATGTCCCATGTAGCGTCTACGGGTGACACTCCCCAACCTCCCAACTACCCTGCGAGGGTGTTGTTACTCATACTCTCCTGTGACGTGAAGCTCATTCTCCATTCCGCAGAGTTACTGTGCTCCTGCTGCACACCAGGCATGGTTCTGGGTGCAAGAGACACCAGCGTGCAGAAGCAATCCTGCCTTCATGGAGCTTACACTTTAGTGGGCCAGATGAACAATAAACCACTAATTAAAACAAGTCTGTGGTGCAGGGAACAGAATGGAGAAATGTACAGTGAAGGGGTGGGAGTAGAGCGAGCAAGGGAGCTTACTCCTTGTGAAGGAGGTTTGCAACCTAACAGCGACACTAGGAAAGCCCTCACTGGGACGGTGACGTTTAAGGCCTGAAGGAGGTGGAGGAGTGCTCTGATTTAACTGTGTCCCCTAAAGCTCATGTGTTGGAAACATAATGCTCAATGCAACAGTGGTAAGAGGTGGGACCTCTTAAAGACATGATTTCATTCATTCATGAAGGACGCTGCCTTCATGAATGAATGGAATGCTGTTATCACGGGAATGGGTTATTGACAGAGTGGGTTCCTAGGCCAGGCATGGAGGCTCACACCTGTAATTTCAGCACTTTGGGAGGCCGAGGCAGGCAGATCACCTGAGGTCAGGAGATTAAGATCAGCATGGCCAACATGGTGAAGCTCTGTCTCTGCTAAAAGTACAAAAATTAGCTGGGCATGATGGCAGGCACCTATAATCCCAGCTACTCAGGAGGCTGAGGCAGAAGAGTCACTTGAACTCGGGAGGTGGAGGTTGCAGTGAGCTGAGATGGGGTCACTGCATTCCAGCCTGGGTGACAGAGTGAGATACCATCTCAAAAAAAAAAAAATACAAGAAAGAAGAAGAGGAGGAGGAGGAGGAAGGAGGAAGGAGGAGGAGGAGGAGGAGAGGAAAGAAAGAAAGAAGAAAGAAAGAGAGAGAAAGAAAGGGAAAGAAAGAATATAGAAGCAGGTTTCTAATAAAAGGATGAGTATGATTCCCTCTCTCTCTCTTCCCAACCCCTTTGCCCCCCACTTTCTGCCATGGGGTGATGCAGCAAGAAGGCCCTTACCAGATGCAGTCCCTGGATCTTGGACTTTCCAGCCAAAGAAATTTCCATTCTTTATAAATTACCCATTCTGTGGGATACTGCTATAGCAACATAAAACGGACTTAGCCAGGAATTTATCCAGGCAAAGGCAAGTGCAGAAGGCCTGAGGTGGGCACATCCCTGGTGTACAGGAGTGAATGCCACCATGGCTAGGACATGTTCTAGGGGGAGAGTGGTGAGCTTAGAATGGGGAAATCCCTTGCCTCACAAGTAGGAGGGCAGCTGAGAGCAG